CATAAATATAACCAAGAATGTTATTTGGTAAAAAAAAAATCTGAACACCAAGGAGCTACAGGTGAGTGAATCTCCAACTTAATTAAGTCTAGTGTTTCAGTATTTATTGTCATATTGAGTACTAGAGGGGTACCCATGCTTTGCTATGGAACTATGTGATGGGCAAGTTTTTGGGGAGGAAAATAAGGGGAAAAATTGTGCCTCTGCCTACCAGCATCCATCGTTATTCATCTGGCTAGCGTCCTGTCAGTGTGCAAGAGTGTTCAGGGGTGTTTGGAAACTGAAATAGTATTTGCTGTGTGAGCAAGGAGACAGCAAGGAGCCTGGGTGTGACCTAGCTCAACTGTTCTGTAGTAAAGCTGTTTGCTGCTGTGAAAGTAAAACAAACTCCTCTGCTTGTGTTTTGCATTTGGAAGAGATTTCTTTTCAGGTGGGGAGGGGGAGTAGAACTCCTTAGCATCAGAGTGTGTTAATAATAATATAGGAAGTACTAATGCTCTGATGGTCATTTCGAAAAATCCTTTGTTAGCGAGCACCTAGAAGCCAAGAGGAACATACGTGCCAAATTTCAAGTTTGTAGGCTTTACAGTTCTGGAGATTTTGTGACGATGCATGAGTGGTATTTCGCTTTTATATATATAGATTCCACAATGGATGACCCTCTCATTGTCATCTTCACCAACAAATTATATCTGGAGAAATGAAGGCTGCTGCTGAGGCCCCACCATGATACTTCCTATCCTGTGGTAGACCTGCCCCTGTACTTTGAATGTTGGCGTAAGATTTTCCTCCTTCACCTCTCTGGTTGCAAAAGACATCATTTGGAATCATCAGTTGTACTTCTGGACAGCAGAAAAAATGTGGTTTGCCATTGTATGCTGGTGGGTGAGAAGGCTGTGTAAGGGTTCAGGGGAGGGCTGAAGGGGAGGGAGGTGGACTTCACCACCACTGCAGCACAGCCCGGGACACTCATCCTGCCACTTTAGAGCATGGCACCAGGTAACCGAGATAAGAGGTCAACAACCTTTTCCCTGGAATAATGAATCTGAGGTTCATATTGAAAACCAGACAGATACTTATTAGTCCAAGGCATTGATCTCATTTGTGACTGATTAACATAGGGGTTATTAGATGTATAGTTTTTTACAGCCCATCTACTGACTTGGGGATGAGTTTGATGATACTTGTGTGTAGCTTCCCTTACTTGTCTTTTCCTAATTGCATTTATAAATCTTTTTCTGAGTTTTTTGCCTCTTTTTCCCTTTAACTGGTCTTACAGTAGAAGGAACAGATTCATCTGAACTGAGGAAGAAAGTAAGGGGGAAAAATCTGCCTCTGCCTACCAGCATCCCATTGGTATTCATCTGACTAGCGTCCTGTCAGTGTGTGAGAGAGTTGAGGGGTGTTTGGAAACTGAAACAGTATTTGCTGTGTGAGCAAGAAGGAAACAGCAAGGAGCCTGGGCGTGGCTTGGCTCAACTGTTCTGTAGTAAAAGTGCTTGCTGCTGTGAAAGTAAAATTGGAACTGAAACTCATGTCCTCTGCTTGTGTTTTGCATTTGGAAGAGATTTCATTTCAGGTGGGGAGGGGGACTAGAAATCCTTAGCATCGGAGCGTGTTAATAAGAATAATACAGGAAATACTCCATTTAGGATAGTTTTTAAAAATAATCTCTAAAGCACAATCTGGTTAAAGCTATCATTTATTGCTTGTGATACTTTTTGCATTTTAAAAGTGTATTTTCTTAGCTACCTCAATCTGAATTGGACAAGTAAATACATTTGAAACACTACTGAAGCTTCCCTAGTACTCTGCTTCACAAACAAAAAGTTGTCATGCTTCACTTGGTCCTCAGGTCGATTGCATGAAAAAGTTTATGCACCCCTGGTCTAATTATATGTTTTAATGAATCCCTAAGTCAGGGGTGTCAAACTCATTTTCATTGAGGGCCGCATCAGGGTTGTGTTTGACCTTTGGGGGTGGGGAAGCGTGGCCAGCTTGACATCACTCATGTCGGGGGCACTTGTATGGCCATGTGCTAAGGCAGGACTTCCCTCAGACCCTCCCTCCCTCTCATAATCTTCCTTCCT